GTGTTTTGTAAGAAGGCTAACAAGCGTAAACTTTTGTCTGCCTGAAGTAATGGTACTTTGAGTCTTTGAGTGATTCTAAGATGATTCGCTGCTCTCTTCCTTGAATTGTCGTAACTGGTTTCTGGTCATTTCTGGTTTTCATCCATCATTCCAACATTGCTGAGAGAAGCCGAGAATTCCACAGGATGATGGTCAACAGAAGCTCCTCGACCCATCGCAATCCGGGAGATCGTTCGATGTCCTCAGGAGTTGATGAAGTCGGGGGATTTGCCACCCGACCCTGAAAAGGAAGTGGCGGCCCCAAGGAACTGAACCAAGTTGCTGCGGGTCGAGTTACTGTCCTAACCAAGGAGATGGCAGAGGTGCTGGAGAAGGGAAAACTGAGGCCGACGGACAGAGTACACGGGAAGATCTGGATACATTGATATACAGACTGGAAATCCTTGTCAGAGCATGTGACAATCTGAGCCTCGTGTGAGTGAGCTGTCTATTCCAAACAGCAATACCCCCTGTAGTCTAGGCCTGACATTGGTGCACAATGAACCCTCCATAGCAGCTTCTTCTTGGCTAAGAGTACACTTTGGCCCACTGCATGAACAACCACGCAAGCTATACCTGACAATCTTGATTGGTGGTCGACATGAACCTCAACACACATAATTAGGATCCAATTGCCACCGTGAGACGTCTGCAACATTTTTTGACTGAAAAATCACCGATCACAAAACCTATGCATGGACTTTGCATGTCTGCAACATACATCCACATACTGACACATGGTTCAGTTATCAGGGGTTGAATGTGGCCAGGTTGGTCCGGGTGCAAAGGGACGAGTGTGGTTTGGCCGTGGGCGTGTGTGCGGGCCTATTCAAGCCCAAAGTCGTGGGCGCCTCAATGGATGGTAGGGCAGGTCCATGCCAGTCCAAGCATGTTGTCGCACTGTGAACTTGGTTTATTGGATGATAGTGGAGCTATTAGTTCACAGTGCGATTTATCAGTTCACTCCACTATTATCAGTTCACAATACTCTCATGGAGTTATTGGCATTTCTGTATCTTAAACTCCATGACAGTCTTTGGTGGCTCCACCCGGTCACCCTTCCCACAGCGAGCTCTGAGGTCAAAAGACCGAAAGCTGCAGCCGCCAAAGCCAGCGCCGGCAGCCCCCGTGAAAAGAAAGTGCGAAGGCACCTGTGGGGCCGACAATCAGCTTGAGGTGTTTTTTTTTCTTTTCTTCCCGAATCCAAGGTTCTTAGGATCAATCATGTGCAGGCAATGATGCTGAGAACTGGATTCGAATATTTTCAGGATTAGCACGAAAGAAGCATGGAAAGATGTGCAAACCCAGAAGCTACCGCACATCAGCCGTGCCAACTTGTTTGCAGCCTCGTCCTTTCATCCAAAAGCAGATCTGGAAGCATTGCGATTCTACAGGCCACCACGCGGCAAGCGCTGAAGTGCTGAAGGCAGCTCATGGGTTAAGGAGCCATAGGTCCATGGGTCCATCCGGATGTATAGCAATCCTATGCGGTCTTCGATGTGAAGAGGCCTTTTTCTCATGAGCCGTCATGAGCGGTGTGCTCCCAAATGCTTCACGTTGCTCTTTGGGCTTTCGCCGAGTCATGCTCACCAGCCTGTTCGACCCACCAACGGAACCTGGAAAGTTTGCTTCTCTAGATTTTGCAGCATCGCCCAGGTGGAAATTTTCCGAGCAGTCTGGGAAGAGACCGTGCTGCACAAGCCCCCTCAGCATAGTTTGGCAGCTTGGCTGACAGAGAATTCTGTCAGGACAACTTTTTGTCTTCACAACCCTAGCTGGGTTGCCGCTCTTCCGACTCGGAAGGGAAACACGCGCAGTGTGCCTGCCGGAGAAACAGAGTGTGCGATGTGTACAATGTACAATCAAGTCAGCACCATCCTCTTCAATGCACGGTACAACAAACACATACTTAGTGTATCTTAGTGTAATACTTACACAATACATCGAAACCAAAGGCTCCCATTCTCATTACTGTGTACATGCATGACCAACTGGACTGTGGATTACAAGCAGGGTCTGCATCAGCCGGCGGCCACCTGCAATGGTGAGCTGACATGAGACCAGTTTCTGGGCTGTACCGGAATCTAGCCATTCCGTGGGGCCTTGGCTTTCATTTTTGGGCTCAAAGTTTACAAAGCTGCCTGACCTCCGATCCTGCGCCATCGGAGGGCAAGGCAGCTGCAACCGATCCTTTTTTGCTTGGGCAACTTGGGATATTCTCCGGCACAAGAGCCCCTAGCGGCCATAGCTCCAAAAGATACTGTAACTGTATATAACATGATATAACTATAATATATTATAAATATATATATATACATATTACTGTATATATTATGTCATGTAATACAACACAGTACAGATATAGTTTAATATATCAGTGCTTTCAAATTGGTGAACAAAGAGCAAGATGATGAACAAAACGTTGATGTGAGAACATGTATCCAAACAAACCCATGACACTGGTTTCTGGGAATTTGGTGGGTCCCTTGTCCCGATTCCAGGCTCTAGTCGGTGGGCTGATGTCCTTCTTTTGGCAGCTGCTGGCGGCCTCAGGAAGTGGTGCAAGATTGAGGCATTCGTTGGAGAGAGGTGGTGTTGTCTTCCCCACAGCATGGGAGAATGAGATGAGTCCATTCGTTGAAGAGGTGGTGTTGTCCATTGCACCCACCTATTGATGAACAACTCACTGGCATGATTGGGAAGCCACCGCTGGACGTTCAGGTAAACATTGCCTTTGTCGAAAGATGCTTGATCCGTTGATCCTTCTCTGTTGAAGAGATCTATCTCTTGTTCTTTTGATACCTGGTGGATATTTCATGTCTTTACGGTCTGTAAAGCGGAATTACCCAGTTGCCCCGAATGCCAGATCATTTGCATCACTACCGCCACTGTCACTTTTGTTGTCATTGTTGACCGTCACATTTCATTGGATCTGAAGGTCTTGGACACTTGGAATTGTCCCATTGATTGACTCCATTCCGAGGACCCCGGAGTCCAAGCTAGAGGAAGAGCTCCCAGATCCGGGTGCTGAAGATGAGGTCTGGGACCTCATTGAGCACATCGAAGCCCAAGATGCCACCAAGATAAGGATAGACATAGTCCAGCTAGGGCCAGAAACCGATTAGATTAGCACATAACCAGAGTAGGACCACCATTTTGATTGAGTTCTTGCGCTTTCCCACATTGATGGTATGAGTTTCTGGCTCCATCCATATTGATAATGTTTGTCTCCGTAATTATTTCTATTGTTTGGAAGGTTCGTGGTTTTGGGGTGCTCCTTCAAAACCTGGGAAGCGTTGCCCAGCATTTGGAGACGCCAACACAGAAAGCTAGCTCTGTGACTCTGTGTTAGATCTTCCGCATACCGCATAGGTCAAATATGTTGTTCATGAAAAAGGGATTCTCAGCGGCAGCCAGCCAAGGGAGTGTGGGAAACTGAAACAAGACACGGACGGTATTGCTTGGTTCTTGCCCGGTCTCTAAAGTTCTGTTGTTGGATTCTTTGCGATGTGGCAGTATGGACAGACGAAAAGTTGAAGCTTAGATATGGTGCTGATATGGTGCCACTGCCACAGTATCCTTTCAGGAGAAGCAGCTTCAAGAGGCCGCTTTGAAGAGGCCGCTGGGTGGCTGGATGGCGGTGTTCGAGAAGTTATTCTGAGTCCTTGGACAAGGTTCGACCAGGTTCGGCATGCTTCGACTTGGTGTTTTCCTGTTCTTTTTGGGTGTTCGCCAGGCCTGGGATGCTGGCACTGCAGGAGGATGCTGTGCTGCCAATGTCTCACCCAGTTAAAATGTGGAAGACTATGTCATGGTGTCACTGTTCAGGTGCCTGCTTTCTATTGGTCATCACACCTGGATCGATACATTTTGAATGTTACCTTTCACATATTGGTGGGACTTGTCTTCTCTGCCACGCCTGTTCGCTTGCGTTTGGGTGCAGTCCTGTCAGTGCATATGGGGTCCTTTCTCCACAGAGTCACCGTGTTTGAAAGATCTCCAATCGAAGCCAAGACTGCACCGTAGGAGCATGAGTCTACAGTGCAGTGGCCACCAGCGAAGCCGCTCCCGCCGGCCGGAGCTCCTACGAGTTTTTCTTCAGCTGTTAACGCGTCAGGTCTGTCCATCAGGTGCTGCAATGGGATTGGAAAAGCCATCCTGCTTGTAGGAAAGTTGGCGTCGAAGGCAGTACCATTGCAATACGCCATACGCGTTCTGTAACATCAGATTCCATCCGACCAGATGGTCCGACCAACATGCATGAATTGAGACCTGAGGCTGAGGGTGACCGCAAGTCTGGCGCGGCTGCTGAGACCACACCACTTCGACTACCAAGCTTGCACCATATGATACACAAGGTTCTACTCTGGAAGAAGAACAGGCAAAGAAAGCACCTGTTTCAAGCTTACAAGCTTTCACAGACTGTTCATTGAGGTGTCATTTACTTGTTGGTGATCTTAGATCTTAGGATGGGAACTATTGTCACCAAAGTCCGTGTAAATCTGTGTACCCTTATTCCCTGGTGAGTGCAGAATCCATTTCCAGGCTTTGAAGCGACCAATCGCACCACGCACGCACACAATCCAACCCCAACCAGCCAGCAGCCGCCCACTGCAACATTCCAAGGCCGAACACGTGGTGGGCGTGACCGCCGTAGGAGCGCCCCCCTGGTCCAAACTGGGTTCGGTGATGTTTGGTTACTTTTTGCTTGGAGAGTTTACCTTTTGCTGACAAGTAACACCCAGAAACACGAGTAAACATGTCTGGGTCTTCAGTTAAGGTCAGCCACACATTTCAACAGCTGGCCCTGCTGTACATTGGGGTGAGCTTGACACTTCTCCAGGCTTCTTTCTTTAGAACCTGACCACCCATAGATTCAGACACAACCACACAACCACCTGCTGCACTTGTACCACCATTCTGCTGGCCATTAATCAAGCTAGACACGCATCTACTCAAGGCAGACTCAGTCGGCGGTCACAGTAGAGTAAGCTGGTAAGCTGGTGAGCCCAGCTTTCAACCGCCCCAACTCAACCTTTTGGGGATTGAACCCAAAGAAGCTACTAGATCTACTAGTAACACGGGCATCGCTAATAGGAACAAGGGCATCGCTACTAGTTGCTTCTTGCTACTAGTAGTAGTAATACCCTTGTTACTAGTAGCTTCCTTGGTGCAGACAACCGACAGCTACGGAGACTTCTTGAGACTTCTTGGACGGCTACGGCGTCAGAGACCTGTCCACTGACTGCTTCAGCCAAATTTTTGGTGGGTCGAAGCGGTCATAGGCGGTCAAGGAACGGCAAAGGGAGGCTTAAGGAAGGTCAACACTCTCCATTTGTCATTGGTTGCTTTAGTACTTGAGGTCCTTCTAGCTCTCGAGGTCCTTTTTCCGGATATTGCTGCGCGCAGGAGGGCTGGAGACAAGCCTGCAGAAGGCGGCAAGGACACGGGAAGCCTGCAGAAGCTTCGTTTCTGCCGAAACGACATGTGGTAATTAGATGCCAACGGAGTTCGACGGAGAACTGTCGCAGAAGGTACTGTGACGCCATGAGAGCTGAGAGCCTGTGGAAAAAGGGGATTGATCAACACCCATGAAACAATGTCCTTTCTGATCTTCTTTTGGGAGAAACAGCCGCTTACGAGCTGTTCCAGTGTTTCTAAAAGGGATAGATAGAGTTTCTACCCACACCGAACTGGTTTCCTTTTTTAAAAACTGGTGAAAGCAAACTGGTGAAAGCGAACCAGCCTCACTGGCCTCACTGTCAGGACACCCAGGGAGACCATCCCAAGAAAGACGGGTGTGACCCTCTGACGCCGCCATCAACTTCCGTCGGTTTCGTCGGTTTCTTCGTTCGCTTCACTGACCAGTCCATCCCAACACCCATGACTTAGGTTCCAATCGTCCCATAATCCTATGAACTTCCAAAACCTGCATGGCAGGCATGGCATTGGTCATGAATTTAAAGCATTTTACATAATATAAGACTTATATAAATACAAGCTTTACTGAAGGCATCAGGTTCCCAAGAATCCCAGTCCCAGCTTAGGTGGTTGCCCAAAGCCGAGTACGAGGCCCTGAAGCGCGAGGAGCGCTGGGAGCCCGAGACCAGAAGTGTCGTCCAGCTTAGCGCTTCGTACAGCGAAGTGGGGATGGACATGCAGAGTAGCAAGAAGCTGCTAGGAACAAAGGGCATCGCTACTAGGAGCAAGGACGCTACTAGGGGCTCCTGGCCTTACTACTAGTAACAAGAAGCCAAATTAAGAAGATCTTGCCATGTGCCCATCCACATGCTGGAATCTCCACGGTGATGTCAACCATTCACAAGGTTCCACTGTGAATGCCATTGTGCCAACACCTGGTGCAAAATATGACGTGCCAACTATGGAACAAACATTTGACACACACACACACAATCACAGGCATCGTTTGTAGTAACATTGTAGTATTTTGCTTGAGCGATGTAGAGGGCTTTACCAAGACTGTTCTCAAGCGCCCGAGCCAAAGAAATGAGCACATGCAAAAGCAGGATGAGTGGTCCCTCTGGACTCTGGCCTTCAAACTCGACCGAACCAGTTTGACTACTAGTCATTCGGAGTCATCCGGCTGCCACCAAGTGAAGGAGGGTCACTGAAAACTGCAGCGCTCGTGATGAGAAACATCCCATGGCAGGGGTGATTACTATTTCAGATCGCGTATCAGTGTGGAGACCATCAGCACTTGCAGCTTTTTTGTGGGCTTCTAGAGGATTTTGGAGAGACGTGGCCTGAGACCAACGACAAGGCCCTGTATGTGGAAAAGGTCTTTGTTCCACCACGTCCGTGTCCCCAAAC